TGCTGATGGTCTGGCCGCCAGTCCTGACCGCGGCCCACAGGAGCCGCTCCACTCTCAGCGCACAGCCTCCTCACCTGGCAGGCGAACTGCCCGAACTGCCCGTCCCTGTCAGCTTGTGCTCAGGCCCACGCCTTCTTGCTGCTGCGGCAGCACTTGGTTCTCCCGCTGCCTCAGTTCCCCTCTGACAGCTCCGACTGCCCCTCCTGAACCCTGTTCTCCAGCTGCTGGTCCTCTCTGCCTCCATCCTGTCTCTGGGAGATTCTGGTCTTACTTGGTTGGAACCACAGCTGTTGTAGTGTCCCCAGGCCCTCCTGGCGGCCCCTTCCCTGTCCCCTCCCCTTCCCCTCTGCTGCCCTGGGACTGCGCCACCGAGGCCGCCCTGCAAAAGCAGCCTGGGCACCTGCTTGCTTTGCCCAGAGTCCTTCCCCCGGGTGCCCCCTCCCAGAGGCCACGGGTTTAAACTGGAAAACCCACCATCTCCTTGTATTTTCCGCTTTGTGTCTTTCTAACCGTGGGCTTAAGCTCTGGGGAGGAAGGCAGAGAAGGAATAATTCTTCAGTTAAAAAATAGACTATTGCCCTGGCTGGTTTGGCTCAGTGGATAGAGCGTCAGCCTGTGGACTGAGGGGTCCCAGGTTCGATTCCGGTCGGGGGCACATGCCTGGGTTGCGGGCTCGATCCCCATTTCGGGACGTGCAGGAAGCAGCCAATCAATGATTCTTTCTCATCATTGATGTTTCTATCTCTCTTTCTCTCTCCCTTCCTCTCTGAAGTCAGTAAAGATATACTTAAAAAAAAATAGACTGTTCAATATTACTTTGGCAATTCTGTCCAAAGCAGTAAGAATCAAAACAGAAGCAAATGTCACTGTTAGGATGGACGAGACATCGTATGTGTATATACGCGTTAGACACAAGCCAACGAGCCGGGAAGTGATGACAGTGACTGAGGTCAGCACGGTAACCGGCACATGGTCTATGCACAAAGCCCGGCCCTCACAGTGCAGACCTCGCCGGCACCGGCGCGCCTTTCCCAGCGCCTGGAAGGGGGCTGCCTGTTTGTCTGAACAGACTCATGGCAGCAGTGCAGGCACCCCCTGCCTTGGTGCGCTGATCGGGAATTCCTCATTTATAAGACGCAGCAGGAAGGGCTGGGCCCTGCTGGACACCAGAGTGGGTGGGAAGTGCTACAGTAACAACCTTGATGGAAAGTGGCTGCCTTCCTTTTATATTTTTTATCTGAAAAGTAGCCCTGGTCGGTGGGTCAGTGGTTAGAGCACCGGTCCATGCACCGCAGGTGTGGTTCCCCTTCAAGGGCACGTACCTAGGTTGCAGGTTTGCTCCTCACCCTGGTGGGGGCGGGTGCAGGAGGCAGCAGTTGATGTCTCTCACATCGCTGTTTCTCTCTCCCCGTCCTCCCACTCTGAAAAGCAATGGAAAATATATCCTCATTTGAGGATCAATCCCCCCAAAGCAAACAAACAACAGCAGCTAAGAAGGAGGCAGTGCCTGGCCGGGTGTCTCGGTTGCCTGGGCTTTGTCCTGTGCCGAGAGGTCACCAGTTTGAGTCCGGGTCAGGGCACGTGCCTGGGTTGCAGACGTGATCCCCAGAAGGGGGCGCGTGGAGGCAGCTGATCAAAGGTTCTCTCTCATCATCCAAGTTTCTCTCTCTCTCTCTCTATCTCTAAAATCAGTAAACACTTTTTAAAGTGAGGAAGTCAGCTGTGCTGGTGTTACTTACGCCACTGACATGGGTGCCCATGGGGTTTGTGTTGGATTTGGCTGGGGCGCGGGGCTGCTGGGGGCGGCCTGGCCCTGCCCGCGGCGGCAGTGGTGGGCGCCATGCTGCTGTGCACGCCCGCTGACTCGGAGATGCAGCTGGTGTTTTACTTCGGTGCCCTTTCTGGAAAGGACCCGCCGCGCAGCAAGACTCTGAGGTGACCAGCGGGCGGTGCTGGGACGACTGCACGAGCCGAGAGGGGAGGGCGGAGTGCTGACGGCTCCGCCTTCTGCACTGGTCTCATCTCTCCCCGCGGAGACTGACCAGAAGCCTGTTTAACACGGGTCCGAACCGCTGCTGTGGGTGTGCCTGCTTGGGAAGGTCAGCTCGGGGCAGCACACACCGGAACAGGCCGCTCTCCGGGGCTCGGGGTGCGTCCTGCCTGCGGGCCCACGCCAGCACCTTAGGAGATGTTTGTGGTTTTGTGATAAATGTTCAGAAACCTCTTCCGAGGTTTCTCAATCGTGAAAGATAAAAGGCCTCATGCCTTTGGGGAAATACTTCCTTCCTGTGCTGGTAGAAATGGCTGTAGACCTTGTGATGACAAGTGAAATGCATGTCTTTGTCAGCAAATACTGTCCGAAAGCCACAGCGAACACTGCAGACGAGGGATGGGCCTGCGGCTGGTGGGAGCACAGGTCTCAGCCGCACATTTGCCAGGATCCGCTTCAGTTATGAAGACAGGAGGGCTTCTTCTTGAGCCACGGGGGGGCGGGGGGGGGGCAGCGGCTGGAGAAACAGCTCACTGGCTGGAGAGAGCCCATGGTCTTCAAGGCTGAAACGCAACCAGTTACCAAGGAAAAGCCGCGCAGATCTCGGTCAGACAGACTTAAGTCTCTGGTTTAGCAGGTGAGATAAAATCAGAATTTAAAGCAAATAACAAACTGTAAAAACTCACCAAATATGAACCTTAAAGAGCTGATTGCAATTGGGAGAAAGATCCAAGACCTCTCTCCTGGGGAGTTGGACACAGGCACAAACGGGAATTGTGTTGGATTGAATCGTATAAAATTGCTGTTTTGTAGGTTAAACAGTGATGACTGAACAGGCCTGTAACATAGAGATTCCCAGGAGGCTCTGCCTGAGGAGAAGCAGGACCAGGGGCTCCCGGTGAATGCTGTCCGTGTCTAGAGGGTTGGTGTGGGTCCTGAGACAGGAAGCCTGTCCCGTGAAGTCAGTCTCCCCGACACCAGAGCAGACAGGCAGCTCAGGCCACGGCGGCCGTTACCACGAGAGGAGAGACAGGTGCCAGTCGTCGTCAGCGCAGCGAGGACATCAGGTCCGGCCGGTTCACCACAGGAATGCACGGCTGGTTCACCGGGCAAACGGACTCGCGGAGTTCACCTTCCGATGACGGAAACACTCCTCAGCCTGGTCAGGGGGGTCTATGAAAACCCACACGGCACCACGACTCCCTGAGATCAGGCACCGACGGGCTCCCTCTCGCCACTGCTGTACCACGCCCTGAGGGTCTGGTCAGGTCGAAAAGGAACCGCAAAGCTATCCGCAGGTGAACTGCTCTTGTACGTGGAAGATTCCCAAGAACACACACCTACCAGAACCAACAAGCAGGATACAGAGTCCGCACGTGAGACATTTCTATACCTGAGAAATGAAAATCAGAAAGGAAACCGAGAATGAAATATTTAGGAATAAGACTTACTATTAAAATAGCAATACTTTCCAAATTGATCTACAGATTCAGCACAAGCCATAAGAAAATTGTAGCTGGTTCTGTTGCAGAAATTGACAAGCCAATCCTGAAATTCTTAGGGAAATGCAGGGACCCAGAATAGCCAAAACAGTGGTGTGAGCGGCGCAGGCTGCGGCCACTACCAGAGACAGGCCACAGTTTGGGGGCTGGAAGTCCAGGTGGGGGTGCAGTGTGGTTGGTTCTGGGGAGGCCACTTCCAGCTGCAGACGGCCGGCTGGGCGGAGAGTGAGGGCCCTCGGGACCCTGATAAGGGCACTCGTCCATTCATGAGGCTGCACCCTCGTGACTCACCGCCTCCCAGAGGCCCCGTCTTGTCGGGGCTAGGATTTCAGCTGGAATTGTGGGGGCATCCGGGGCCATGGCACCATTGGACAACAGCCCCCCAACCCTCAGCGGCCCAGCACCCACCACCTCCCTTTCCGTCTGGATGTGGGTAGCTCTAGGACTTCGTGGACGTGGGCTGGCTACAGGGCCTAGCTCGTTAGCGCCATGTTCTCCAGGTTCCTCGCGTTGCAGCCCCGACAGGGTGTCTGCCTGTTAAGGCTGAACGACAGCCACTGTGTGTAGAGCCTGTTGTCTTTTTTGTTGCTGTTAATCCTCACCAGAGAATGGTTTTCCGTTGCTTTTTTCAGATAGTGGAAGGGAAGGAGGAGGTGGGGGAGAAACATCGGTGTGAGAGACATACTGACTGGTTGCCTCCTGCACATGCCCCCACCGGGGGCGGGAGCAAACCTGCAGCCCAGGTACATGCCCTTGACTGGGAATCAAACCCAAGACCCTTCGGTCCGAGGGCCAACACTCTAACCACTGAGCCACCAGCCAGGCCAGACCACATTTTCTTGAGCCCTTCGTCCATCGCTGGACACTCAGGCTCTCCCATTTCTCAGCGCTTGTGCAGGGGCTGCAGAGGCCTCGCTGAGGGGCACAGTGGACCCTCCGACAGCCCCGGGTGGACTGCACCGGGCACTCACCGGGAATGTTTCCCGTGAATCCACAGTTGGCCCTTGGTGCCCCCGGTGTCCCATCCACAGTTTGACCAACAACCGGTTGGAAACAGGATCTTTGCTCTGAGGCTGGGTTGGTGCCCTGTTCCCTTTTCTGTCCCTGCAAGTGGGGGTGCTGGTCATGCCGTGTTTCCCCAGCGGCTGCACCATCACCGCCCGCCCCCCCCACAGTCTGCAGGGTCCGGGAACGTCCCGCCAGCACTAGGTTCTGTGTTGGGGCCGTCCTAGTGGCGTGAACTGGTCTCTGGATTCAACGCCCCTCCCTGGAGTGACACTGAGCGCCTCTCACGTACGTGTTGCCTGGGACTGAAGTGTCTGTGGAGGACCTGCCGGGGTTTTGTTGCAGGGTTTTGTTGCGCTGTAGGAGTTCTCTGCGTGGTCTGGGCTGCTTCCCTCTCAGCCTCCTGTTGTTTCAGTTTCAGTTCGAGGGGTCCCATTGGCTACTTTTGATTGTGTTGCCTGTGCTCTTAGGGATACATTTTTATTACTTCTAGTTTGAATTCTTCCAAAGTCTGTTTCACTTCTAGCCATGTTATCCACATTTACTTAGGCAGGATGTTTTCCCTGTCAGGCCACTACATTTCTTTTAGCCTGACTTGTCTTTCATTGGTCTCTTCCTTCACTGCTGTTCGTTGCTCCGTTGCGTTACCTCGTTGACTGTGTGTTTGCTGGGCTGAGGCCTTCCTCTGAGTCCTCTTCCTCCCGGGGTGGTGGGTGCTAACCCTGCGTCCCCGAGCGCCTGGACTGCCCTCCTTCCCCTCGTTCCAGTGAGCATGTGCTGTGGTCGGAATCCTCAGCGTCTCTGAAATTCCATTTTTTTCATTTGGCAAAAGCCCTTTGGGAAGGAGGAGCCAGGCAAGGAGCTGTGGGACCAAACCACAGGGTGGCTGTGGGAGGGCAGGAGCGGCTGGGCTGGGTGCCCTGGGCGGAGGCTGAGGAGCAGCTGGCAGGAGCGGCCGCCACGTGGCTCAGCAGCCACCCAGCCTGGGAGGCCAACTCCAGGGGCTCTGGTGGGGGGGGGGGAGGGGGGGCCCCAGCCACACCCCTGACCTTGGACACACCCAAGGCCCTGGGCTCTGGCCAGCTGTGGGGAGGGTGGGGAGGCCGAAGGTGGAGCCTGAAGGAAGCAGTCCCTGCGTGGGAGGGGTGGGGCAGGAAGTCGGGTCAGGGCCACTTGGAGGTGAGTGAGTGGCGGTGTAGGGGCTGGCTCGGCCCAGAGCAGGGCGCTGAGGAGTGTTTGCGGCTGTAGGAGCGTGATGGTGCCGTGACCCCAGGGGGGGCCCGCGCTGTGTCTGTGGACACGGCCTCGGGCCCACGGCGGTTCTGTGCAGCAGTGGGTCCCGCGTGGTTTCTTCATCACCTGGTCAACAGTCAGTTTGACTCTGACCAGGGTGTAAACCGCGGCCTGGGCACTGCTGGCGGCCTGGAGGTGGAGTCACGCGTCTCCTCTTCCTCTTTGGACGTCCAGGCCCTGCTGTGAAGCTGGCCGTGGCATCTCCCCTGTTTTGGTCAGCTCTGTGGGTTTGGGGACGGTTTGCTTTTTAAATTTTTTTATCCTCACCCAAGGATACGGTTTATTGAATTTAGAGAGAGAGGAAGGGACAGAGAAGAAGAAAGATTAATCGGGTGCCTCCCATATGCATCTCGACTGAGGGTTGAACCGGCAACCTTTTGGCAGCAGGATGCCGCTCCAACCAACTGAGCCACCCGGCCGGGGCGGTTTGCTTTTTTGCGTTGGTCTGTGCGTTCAGGAACCCAAGGGACCCTCCCTCCATCCATGCCGTCTTTCACTCCTTTCGGGTCTCAGGGTCCGAGAACCAGAGCCCTAAGGGGGTGCCCGTGGCACTGGTGGTCTCAGCGCCCTCTCTCCCCCAGGTGCCTTATGAAACACTGAACAAACGCTTCCGAGCTGCTCAGAAGAACATCGACCGTGAGACCAGCCACGTCACCATGGTGGTGGCCGAGCTGGAGAAGACCCTGAGCAGCTGCCCTGCCGTGGATTCCGTGGTCAGCCTTCTGGATGGCGTGGTGGAGAAGCTCAGCGTCCTCAAGAGGAAGGTGGGTCCTGGGCCGGGCCTCCCCGGCCACGCTGCCCGGAGAGGGCTGGGGGTCCTGGCCCGAGGCGGGCGGCTGTGCTGACCCGCGGCCCTCCCTGCCGCCTGCACTCAGAGCCTCAGGCCGGCCTCCAGTCCCTTCTTCTTCCTGGGGTCCGGCCGTGCTGACTCCACGGTGCCCAAGCCCCCAGGGCAGGCCAGACGGGAGCGGGGTGATGTATTTAGAATTTCACCTAGAACAGCACGTGGGGGTTTTGTTTCTGGGAATGGTAGGTGGGGCGTTGGCACTGATATGCCACTGAGACAACCCAAAGATTGTGATACTTTAAAATATCAGAGCCCTCCTGAGAAGAAGGGTTCCCCAGGAGGGCAGGGGCCCGAGGGGAGGAGGCTGTGCTGGCCACCCTGCGCGCACGGGAGCCTGGCAGACAGTGACCCGGGGCCCTGAGCACTGCCCCTCTGGAGGGTGCCAGGAGTGGACGCCCCCAACAAGGCATTGCAGCCCTTCCTGGCGTAGCTGTCCTGGCAGGGGCGCCAGGCAGAGTAAACGCAGTTCTGAGGTGTGAGGTGCGCGTCTCATCCTCCACGTGCTGTACAGGCCCCCGGGGCACCACGGACAGACCCCCGGGGCACCACAGACGGGCGGAAGACAGTGCAGCGAGGGCTGCACAGACTTCAGGCTCAGCAACTGTCAGAGACCCTGGTTTGCTGTGTTTAAGGACTAAACAACAGCTTGAAAGTTTCTGCAGAAAGTAGACCACGTGATTCAGTTTCAAAAGAGCCAAGTAAAACTTCAAGAAATGGCCCTAATCGGTTTGGCTCAGTGGATAGAGCGTCGGCCTGCAGACTCAAGGGTCCCAGGTTCGATTCTGGTCAAGGCCATGTACCTTGAGGCAGGTGATTGATGTTTCTCTCTCATCGATGTTTCTAACTCTCTACCCCTCTTCCTTCCTCTCTGTAAAAAATCAATAAAATATATATTTTTATTTAAAAAAAAACTTCAAGAAAAGAAAAAACAAATGACATGAAAAACTCAGATGTTTGCTTATGACACATTCGATCACTTGTGCATCAGACACTACAGTGAGAACCAGTGAGCCGGGAGTGGGCTGCGGAGCCTCAGGAGCCTCCGGGAGCAGCACAGGGATGCAAAGGTCCGGAGGAGGGCAGGCGGGAGCAGCACCAGTTCATACCCGAAGCCAGTGGTTCTCAACCTTCCTAATGCCGCGACCCTTTAATACAGGTCCTCATGTTGTGACCCAACCATAAAATTATTTTCGTTGCTACTTCATAACTGTAATTTTGCTACTGTTATGAATCGTAATGTAAATATCGGATATGCAGGATGTATTTTCATGGTTACAAATTGAACATAAAGCATAGTGATTAATCACAAAAATAATATGTAATTATATGTGTGTTTTCCGATGGTCTTAGGCGACCCTTGTGAAAGGGTTGTTCAACCCCCAAAGGGGTCGCGACCCACAGGTTGAGAACCGCTGCCCTAAGCAGTAAACGAAACAGTGGAACCCTGAGACAAACCTTAAAAGCAGCGAGAGAGATGCCCCTTGTAAAGAGCAGCAGATAGCCTGACAGCAGCTGGCCGCCCCAGAGAGTGGCGCCTGTGGGAAGGGAGTGCCCGGCCTCGACTGCGCTGGCCGCACCCCTGCCACACTCCGCGGTGGGCGGGCTGTGCGGACGGCCTAGACTAGGACATTGCAGGGCAGCTGTGTTCGTTTGAACAAAACTGACTTTAAGGAAGAGAGTTTGTAACGACAAAAGGTCTGGTTAAGAAGCTGTAACGTTAAATTATACGTGCGTGGCAGCGTAGCTGCAGAATACCTAAGCCAGCAGCCAACAGAGGTGCGTCCGCGGGGGAGTGAGGGCAGCACCTGCACCAGCGCACCGCGGGGAGGGGCGCCACGGGTGGGGGGGGGGGCAGTGCGGCCCGCGGGCTGCTGGCCTTCGCGCTGAGCACCCCTCCCCTGTCGCAGGCGGTGGAGTCCATCCAGGCCGAGGACGAGAGCGCCAAGCTGTGCAAGCGCAGGATCGAGCACCTCAAGGAGCACAGCAGCGACCAGCCGGCGGCCGCCAGCCTGTGGAAGCGGAAGCGCATGGACCGCATGATGGTGGAGCACCTGCTGCGCTGCGGCTACTACAACACGGCGGTGAAGCTGGCGCGGCAGAGCGGCATCGAGGTGGGCGTCCTGGGCGGACCCTGCGCCCCCGCCCCGCCCTGCGCGTCCCCGCCCCTGAACCTGAGGGCCTGACCTGATGAGCGGCACGGCTCTCGGGACCCTCCCACCCCCCGCCCCGTGTGCTGCTCTTGCTGGTGGGACCTTTTTCCAGGGCGGGGCGCTGGTGGGGACGTGGCCTGGGCCCCGGGGTCCCACGCAGGACCAGCGGCGCTCCGAGCTGGTTTGCCCGAGCCCAGGGCCTTCCTGTCGGACGTCCCGCAGCCCATCCTGGTGGAGGGACATTTACCGCCAAGTGTCCGTTCCCTCCAGGGGCCTTTCTGACATCCGAGCCTGGGTGCACGGCCTGTGCCCCAGGAACCCTTCTGCCTGGCCTGGTGCCGGTCCTGCCGCCTTGCGCTGCTGGGCTCTCCCGGAACCGCAGCCGCAACCCCACCCACCCACCCACTCTGGTCACCCCTTTTAGAAAACCTCCAGTTTAAGGCCTCAGGGGAACAACAAAGAGAGGGGATGGGCTGCTGGGGTTTCCCGGCTTCTTGTGAAGGGGGGGGGGGGTGGGCCAGCCTCAGCTCCTTCCGTGTCAAAGGGCCTGCTGGGTGGGGGGCTCCCCTGTGGCCCAGCCCTGCCCTGGGCAGACCCCTGCGCGCCTCTGGGAGCGGCCGGCAAGGTGCGTATGCGCCATCAGAGGGGTCCAGGCCGGGCCGGTGTGGGGCCCTGGGAGAGGGTCCCGGATGTCTGCTGGCCGCGGGTCCGGGTGCCGGGGTCAGTGCTCTGAGCGTGCGCCGCTGCCCCCCGCTCGTCCCCCCAAGGACCTGGTGAACATCGAGATGTTCCTGACGGCCAAGGAGGTGGAGGAGTCCCTGGAGAGGCGCGAGACGGCCACCTGCCTGGCCTGGTGCCATGACAACAAGTCCCGGCTGCGCAAGATGAAGGTGCTTGGGGCTCCCGGAGGGGCGGGCGGGGCTGCTGGGTTTGGTGTGGGGTTTTGAAATTTCGGGTGGCGCACCCCCTTCTGCACTGGGGTTTGGACCGATACCCTAAGCATGAGGCTCTGAGGGAGCCAGTGGCGGCCACGTGTAAGCAGCACGGGCACCGCTGGGGTTGGAGCCCCATCCCGCCCGCCTGCATCGCAGGGGCCTGCAGGGAGGCTGGTGTCCGCCTGCAGGGGGCAGAGTTCCGGGCCGGGATGTTCGTGAACGCAGCTTCATTTGAGACCCAGCAGCAGCTTAGAAACGGCACCTGCAGCCGCAGGGTTAGACCTGCTGACGGATCCCACGTGGGGCTTGCAGGAACGTGTAGCCTGTTAACCCTCCGCCTCCGTTAGAAAGCCTGTCTTCTGTGCTAACCCGAGCGCCTCCCCTCCCGTGTGAGCTTGTCGTGTGCACGTGGTGACAGCCAGGGTGACACTCTCTGCCACTCAGGGCCGCCAGGGCGAGCATGACGCGAAGCCGGGACGGAAAAGTAGAGTGGCCAGTGGCTCCCCTAAGGAGAGTGAGGATCTTGGTATGGAAACCATAAAAGGAAAGCCAGAATTGGTACGTAACCCCCGCCCGCCCCGCCCCTGCCTGTCCCACAGCCGTGCCGCCCGCAGAGCGGGAACCGGGTCGGAAGGAAATGGGCTTCCGTCTGGGCAGGTTGTCCCTGCGAGCCCCTTGCCTCCCAGACCCACGGCTGCTGGGCGAGGGCGCCACTCGGTGCTCAGACGGCCTCGCAGCCAGTGTGGGCGAGCGGGCCAGGCTGAGCCCGGCGGCCGGTGCACGTGGAAGAGCAGTCACACACAGTGTGCTTGGAAGACGCCCTCACGCCCTGGCAGCACGCTCATGGGCATCGACTGGACAGATCAGGGCCCCGACTGCCTCTCCACGTGTGCCTGTGTGTGCACACAGGCCGGGAGGGTCACACCAGGGCCAGCGGGGTCTCAGGTCAGTCAGGAGCCTGGAGGAGGGAAGGAGCTCGGAGGCTCGAGTGTCCCGTAGTTGGAGGTGCCAGGTTAGTGCCTGGGGAGCTGACTGGGGTCTCCAGACACTTGAGGCCGTGTTTGCAGAGCCCTGTGACGCTGCGTGTCTGGAGCCCGGGCAGCACAGGCGTGGCCGGTGGTCAGTGCTCTCGATCACCAACCGCGGTGCTTCTGTGACACAGTCGCCTGTGAGCGGCCTGCAGTCGGTCCTCGCCTGACGCGTCCGCGGGTCTGGCCAGTGGGACAGTTGTTCTCGGGGTGATTGGCACAGAGAAGAGCCCCGGTCCTGTGGCCCCCCATCACCGTTATCGTGAGAAGAGGCGGGTCAGGAGCTGCTGTGTTTGAAAGTGAGCCTGGGAGCAAAGAGCCCCGTGAGCGATAGAGCGCGTCCTGCGCGAGCTGCCCCTGGTGTCACCCACAGCCCCCTGTCCGCGGTGCCTCCTGGGAGGCAGGCCGTTCTCTCCCCACGGGACCCTGCCACTCAGCACACGCACCTGCTCACCAGGCGGTTCAGGTGTGGGAAAGGCCGCCCCGTGCTGAGGGGGAAGGGAGAGCAGGGAGCCTGCTGTGGAGTGGGCGTGTGGGCACCAGGTAAGTGGCTCTCCGCGTCTTTGCCTGCTGGCCCCAGGGTCTGGGCAGCACGTCGACGGTGTGCCCCGTGGTCCGAAGCACAGGGATGGGGCTGAGTCACTGCTGAGCTGGGGCTGCCTGCAGCCAGGGGGTTCGGGCGGGAGAAGCACGCCTGAGCGGTAAACAGATTCGGCCGTGTGGGAGGACTGACCTCACTGCTGTGGGCAGTCTCCAGTCAGGCCTCCTGGGTCTGGGTGTTGGGGACTCGAAGGATGAGGGGGAGCCCTAGGCCTTGCCTCCTGTCCGCTCCACATGACTCGCTGCTGGTTGGGACACAGTTCTTTGAAATGACGTGGAGACGGCACAGGGAGTGACCGCTCTGTGACGCCGCCCGGCCTGGCACCTTAGGGTGCAGAGTCGTCTTGCTCCCTCCCCACCCACAGGCCTGGAGGGCACCGAGATCTCGACAGAGCGTTTGGGTGTCTGTACCAGGACCCTGCGGCTGGTGCCCCAGAATTTCCCAGAACTGTCTCCGGTGTCCCCTCCTGGGACTCTACTTTCCTCGTGCCCCCAGA